AGCTCTGTGGCTTCACCAAATCCTCCCTAGTTTTAGAAAATGCATCCTCTGATGGGAAGTGGCTCAGTTTGGGTGAGGGGTGTGAAGGTTTTTCCTGGAGCCCCCCATTAACAGCCTGGGCAAACATGCTGCCTGGGACTGTTGTATCAAAACCAAACCCCAAATCTGGCCTTCCAAAAAAGACTCAAGTGAAACACTGTGAGTGTTCAACTTTGTTTTGCAGCAAAGCTACTGGTGCATCCGGGCTGGGGCACAGCTCTAGTCGACCCAAATGATACTAATTTTGGAATTAATAATTTATCTCAGAGCTGTTACTTGCTGCTTGCTGCCTGCTCTCTGGTGGGTCATCCTTGGGAGCTCCTCCAGAAGCTCTCTCCTGTTTACTCCAGCCTTTCCAGCCCCATGTCCTGTGCTGGGCTGTCCCATGTGCCACCGACCCCAGTGTGAACTGCCAAGGACCTGTTCTGACCCTGCCCAGGTGCTGCCAGCACCTGGCACTGCCACAAACCTGGCTCTGTCCCTGTGAAAGTGGCAGTACCACATCTGGATCTGTACCTACCCCCTCCATCTTTGTCCCAGTGAAGCCACAGCACCACAGCCACACCCACACCCACCCCTCTCCATCCTTCCCTTCTCCATGTCATGTCCATTGACCCTGGGAGTGTTTCTGGCTCTGGGAAGGAAGAGCTCCCAGAGGGCAACCAGCAGCTGAGAATGAGGACCAAAAATGAAGGAAGTAATATAGGGGAACTAAATGAAATAAAGCAATTATCCCTGCTCTGATACTTTCTAATTAAGGGAACTGTCACCCTTATTAAGAGGCCATTAATTCATTGTCATAAGTCACCACCAGAGTGCAAGTACCAAAAACATGCCTGGGCCGTGGGGAGTGGAGCAGCATTCCCTCCTTCCCATGCCGTTGGCTCCAGCAGCAGTGAGAGACGCTCCTTGAGGCCATGGGGCTGCTCGTGGCTTTCTGCAGGCAGTGGCTGTGCCCACACCCTGGGCTGTGCTTTGGGAAGTTGTAATTTGCCCTGTGGTGCTCAGCCTGTCCTGGGTGTGGATGAGCCCATCCATCTCCACCTGCATCCCTGTGACTGCACGATCCGCCCTGTGCAGTTCAAGTGCATTTGTCTAAAGGATGTAGTGACTTCTCAGTAGAGATCAGCTCTTGGCCACTCTGGGAAGACCAAACTCCCAAAGAATTCCTAAACTATCCCCAACCATGTGGTCAAGGCAGGTGTTTTCCCCAGCACCACCTCCTGCTAACAGCCAGCTCTGTCTTGGCAGCCTCTCATTACGTATTCTGCATGGAGGGCCCCACATCAGCTTAATTAACAAGGTAAGAAAAACGGGACCTTTGAGGAAATCTTAATTATATTATCCATCTCACCCTGAGTGGCACCTGATCCATCCCAACACTGTTCTCAAGTTCATTAGCAATGAATCAAGATTGATTAGTCCTGGATGTGCAGTAAGGACATGCTGGGGCAGAAGACTTGTGCTGCTGTCGCTGTGAGACCCTGCACATCCACAAGCCCTGTCTTGTCCTCCAGCACCAGGCAGCGGGATGGGGATCAGGGCTATGGGATGAGGCAGACAGAGGTTTGCCAGTGCTGGGATGAGGCTGCTGGAGCAGCCCAGGAGCAGCTGTTTCACTGTGCCCCTTGCAGGAGCTGGCATCTCACACCTCCCAGGGTTACTCTGATTTAGACCAGCACTCGGGCAGCCCTGCCAGGCTGCTGCTCACTTCCAGGGATGGGGCATCCGCAGATTCTCTGGGCAATCTGTGCCAGGGCCTCACCAGTCTCACAGGCAAGAATTTCTAATATCCAATCTAACTGTGCCCTCTGCCAGTCTGAAGCCATTCCCCCTTGTCCTGTCACTCCATACTCCTGTCCAAAGTCCCTCTCCAGCTCTCTTGGAGCCTCTTTAGGCACTGGAAGGTGCTCATAGGTCACGCCGGAGCCTTTTCTTTTCCAGGCTGAACAACCCCCTCTCTCTCAGCCTGCATCCATAGCAAAGGTGCTCCAGCCCTTGAGAACCTTTGTGTCCCTGTTTGAGACTTGCTCCAACAGCTCCACATCCTTCTGGTGTCGAGGGCCCCAGAGCTGCAGGCAGCACTGCATGTGGGGCCCCCCCAGAGCAGAGCAGAGGGGGAGAAACCTCCCTCACCCTGCTGCCCACACTGCTGGGGATGCACCCCAGAGTTGGCTTTCTGGGCTGCCAGCACACGTTCCACGCTCACATCAAGCTTCCCATCCAATGATTTGGGGTGGTTTGTAATCCTCCCTGGGCATCTGATGGGATGACAGGGTCCTAATTAGATTGAGCAAGCAATCCACTGGGGACAGGATTCCGATTTAAACTGGCTCCAGCTCAGCAGAGCCGGTGGCAGGAGCTGACACCCCCCTGCTCAGCACACTGTGTCCTCTCACCCCGTGCAGCCAGGGACAGCGCAGGCTCCTTCAGCACCGGGCGTGAATTTCAGTGTCAGAGGAATGGGGATCGTTTCCTGCATCAGAGCTGCAATCAGCAGCGTTTCAGAGCTGGAGGTGTCTGCATCATCAAGCCGGGCTCAGTAATTACTCAGACAAATTTGCATACATTTTCTATGGGCATCTCTGCTGGCTTTTTTATTTTCTGCTTGAAAACCTTGCTGGAATCTGCAAACTGCCTCTACCACTGGGAATGGATTGCTGGATTGTTCTTTTGTAAGACAGGAAGATGCTGAACGTTATCCTTGATGCCAGCAATGCATTGTCCTGATTATTGCAAAAAATGTCCACAAAAAAAAAGTGGTAAAAAAGTTTATCAGAGACAGGAGTCACGTGCTCTGTGAGTGGCTATTGCCTGACCCTGTGCCCCGGTGCTGCTGCCTGTATCCTCCTGCCTGCTGCAGGGGGCTGACTGATACTTGCTAGTGTTTTCTGTTTGCTTTAATTGTTGTCTGGTTTTAATATTGCATGAATCCACGCCCAATTCATCTGTGTTTCATTGTCTGGCGCTGTTTGTTTTGGGGCAGTGCCTGGAATACCACTGGCAGATAAGAGCTGGACAAGTAGAAGGTATTTTTCTTGCTCAGCAGAAGCTGAGAAGTGACCGAGCTGTGCCTCGGTCCGAGAACCTGAGCATCCATCTCCCTCCAGTTTCCAGGGTTCTGGTGCAGCACCCCCCAGGTTCTTGCCCGTGGGGAGGACTGTGCTGCCTTGGATCCACCACGCAGATGGATTTGTGCTGTGCGCCCAGAGCTACCAAAGGCAAAGCTGTGTCAGGGCTGCTCCACATGAATCCTGCTTCCCTGGGCAGAGTCCTGGGTGCCCCTCGGGCAAGCCAAGGGGATTAGATGGCACCAGACACTGGCCCGGAATGAGAGCAGTGCTCCAGAGCCAGCCTGGAAGGATGTTCTGCTCTCACCACCGCCATCCTCGCAGAGCAGGGGACTGGGGGCAGGACAGCATCCTCCTGTCTGTCTTGTGAGTATTGTTTCACCTGTGTCCTCTAGCCCCATCCTTCCCTGCTGGGTCTCAGAGGGACACCCCAGCAGGGTTGTACTTGGAGTTTCCATCCAAGTGCACCGGTGGTGTTTCTGCTTTCTTCTGTGTCTCCTTTTTTCCATGTGGAGAAGGAGCTGGAGGGAGCCAGAGCACAGCCCAGCGGAGGTGAACATGACACATGGGGGCACCACAGCAAAGGGCAGCTGGGCTTTGGGGCAGGACCTGGGCGGGGACTCTGCCTTTCCCAGAGGGTCTGGGGCAGCCCCAGCACTGCTCTGTGTGCCACAGCTGCATTAAGAGCCAAATCTCCACCAGCTTACTGCATGAGCCCAGCTGGAGCCTGGAGAAGCCATTTCTCCTTGTGCAGCTCCGAAGCTCTGGAGAGAAGCTCAGTATCTCCCTCTAACGATGCGCAGACACCCGGCAGCCGTCCTTTGCTCTCTGGGGTGCTCGACATTCCAGGCACACCGCAGCCCCCTGTGCCCCCCCACCACTCCCACTGCCCCCCCAGCACTCACCGCCAGGGCAAAAACAAACCCTGCAGGGGGGAGATAGGCTTTTTCCTGTCTTTTCTTTCCTATTCGTAAAATTCAATAAATTCTCCCAGCTCTGTTGATCATGAGTCTCTAGTGAGGTGAGAAGAGCCAATTTTGCTGCATATTTGAAAAGGTCAGTACGGGCAGAGTAAAAAATTCCAATTTCCGTGTCCTGGGGTGCTGGGGGCTGCACACAGGAAAGCCCTGGAGCTGGTTCCCTGCAGATGGAGCCAGGGGGTCACAGACCCCCGACCCCCAGAGAAGAGACATGTCAGTCATGTGGTCTGGGTTGCTGTGCTGTGAGCACCAACCAGATTATGCCTTCCAGGAGAAATTTCGGATTTTGGGTATCTGCAGGCTTTGCCTTCAGACCAGCACCAAACCTCTGCTCTGAGGGTGACAGATGTGTGTGGAAAATTTCACTGGCAGTGCTGGTGCTGTTGGGATCACTCAGCTGCAGGAGAGAGAACCCCTGTGCTTGGATCTGAGCACCATTTGGTGAATCTGTTATCCAAAGCAAAATGGTTTGAGAACCAGATTTTTTTTCTGAGATATTTCCATCACCTGAACCTTGTACGATTCCTCTGGGGTTTCAGTGCAGTCACCGCAGCCAGAGCCCAGGGATGCTCCATGCATCCTGCATCCTGCACTGCCCCACCATATCCCTCCCTCACAGCAGAACCTATGATCCCAAATTCCCCCACTGTCCCTATTTAGCCACATGCCAGCAAAGATGAGAAGCTTCTTACTTCTCAATTGTTCTGTGGAGCTGCGGAGGAAATAAATGCTAGCAAACCCCCAGGCTGAGGCTCATTCCCACAGGACTGTCATCAGGACCCCTGTCCCACATGGAGGTGCTTGTCCCAGGGGATTTAGGGCTGTACACATTTCCTGAGCATACCCAGGAAGGGCTGAAGGGACCAAACTCATGGCGCAAGTTCAGACGTGGGAAGAGTTGGAAAAACAGTGAGTTAAAATAACAGTCTCTAATTTATTACCAGCAGAGGAGCAGGTGGGTGGGTGCCTGGCTGGGGGGCGCTGTGACCTGCCTCCACATCCCAGTGCCCCAGGGACTTTGGGGTGCTGCTCTTTTTGGACCCCCATGATCCACAGCCCTGCCCTCATCACTGGAGGAGGACTGTGGGGAGTGACAGCATCCACCCCACCCCCAGATCCTATTTTACACGTGGGTGTTCCTTACCTGCCCACATGAGCAGCCTGTGGCTCTGGACAGGGCGGTTTAGTGGGTGGAGGGGTATAACAGCAAACACCTTCACCTTCTTGATGGTGAAGGTCATCAGAAAGGCGCCTGGGTTTGGTGGCACCATCGCCAGCCCCTGGGCAGGAGGTCAGGATGAGCACCTGCCAATGCCTGGTGGAGCAGAGCTCTTCAGAGCTGGTGGGAGCACGGAGAGGAGCAGGGCTGGGCATCGGTGTTGGGGGTACCTGGCACCCAGTAATCCCCCATCCTCACCCGGGGCAGCACCCACACAACCCAGCAGCATCCACGTCTGCTCCCACTGGCCCCTGCATGGGCTCCCCCCTCTGCCCACGGATGAAGGACGATCTCCTGGTGCAGCTCCCTCCAGGCCACAGCACCCTCCCAGTGCATCCATCCTGTCTTTACTTCCAGATTTTCCAGCTCTGATGACTCAGCTCCATTTTTAACTCACCAAGTGGAGCTGGGTGCTGGGGTCTTGGCCCTGCTTTGAATTTTTTTAGCTGGTTGGATCATCTTATTTGCTGCTGATAACGTCACCTCCTCGGACGCTGGAAGACAGCCCAGTCTGATGAGAAAACTAAAACTCTATAAATAAGCTCCGAGGCACGGATACAAGTTGCCGAGAGCTGGGATATTGCCCACGTGCATAATGCTTCAGTGTCCTGCACGTGGCTCTGAGCTGTCCCAGGAATCACCATGTTCCCTTTCCCCACAGCACTGAGCCATGCCTGTTGCCATCTCCTTTTTTCCATCTCTTTCCCTGTGAACCATCAGGCTCAGGTGGGTGAAAGTTCATCATCTGTCCCAGCAGCCGCTTGGCTAATTTTCCTCCAGCCAAGAGCCATGTCTGCTGGAAGAAACATTCCATCTCTGCACAGGAATGTATTCCTTTAAAAGAAAAAGAAGGAAGGAGCAGGAGAGGAGCCCCAGAGTGTCTGGGAAGCTGTCTCTTCGTATTCCAAGCGTGTGGCTCAGGTCTCGTACCGGCGGTGCACAGCCCATCCCAGCGGAGCTCGGTTCACAGTGTTGGTGCAATCTGCCAAACAGACGGATCAGCTAGGAGACATTTCCAAAAGAAGCTGGAACAAGGTGGGAGAGGAAGGAATAAACAGCCTGCAGGGTGGCACATCCCAGCTCACCCACTGCCAGCCCCGGAGAACCTCGTCCCTTCCACGCAAAACGGCGCTGACGGATTTTGGGCTGTGTGTGGCAGCCTGGCCCTGCGCACCACGACTCATCCCTTCTCACCACAGTCCAGCCCTGGAGCCTCCCCCTGCCCGGCCCCCCGCCCGCCCTACCTTGGCTGAGCAGCTGCAGGTTCCGGACCTCCTCGCGCACCTGGAGCTGCAGGACCTGCTGCAGGACCTCCTGCCGCTGCGCCTCCAGCGCGATCCCCATGCGCTGCAGCTTCTCCCCGTTCAGCCGCAGCAGCGCCCGGCCTGCAAACACAGAACCGCTTGGTGCCCGCCAGTGGCTCTGTGGGGGACCCCAGGAAAGGGGAGCCCATCAGCAGGAAGGGATGAAAGAAATCCTGAAGTGCTCTTTCACTGCTCACAGGGATGGGAAAGGGCATGGAGAGACAGGACAAGGGAGAATGGCTTCGCACTGACGGAGGGCAGGGTTAGATGGGATATTGGTAAGAAATTCTTTACTGTGAGTGTGGTGAGGCACTGACACACGTTGCCCAGACTAGCTGTGGCTGCCCCACTCCTGGAAGTGTTCAAGGCCAGGTTGGACAGGGCTTGGAGCAATCTGGTCTAGCAGAAGGTGTCCCTGCCCATGGCAGGGGGTTGGAACGAAATGAGTTTTAAGGTCCCTTTCAACTCAAACCATTCTGTGGGGCTGTGATTCATGGCCTCACTTTCAGAGAGTGCCAGGGGACAGCTCCATGCCCCCAGTCTCTGACAGGTACTGCCACCACAATCGTGTAACCCACCCCTGCAGGCAGCAGCTTTCCATTTTTCTGCTCCACCTCCCACATGAGGAGATGTTTTTCGAGTGCAGGGTCCCCACAAGGGCTGGCCATCCCGGGGGAATGGGGGTGCCCATCACAACGCATTAGCACTCCAGTCCCTGCCGAGCCACTCTCCTTCAGTCTGGGGGCTATTAGACAAGGGATTTAAAACCAGCTTTTGTCCTTGCTTCCCAGCGTACACTCACTAATGCTGCCTTTGTTACCCAGGCAAGGGCTGACTGAGCTCTTGCATTAGGGCTGTGCATCCCTCCCGGGCAGCTCCGGTGCTCCTCTCCCTGCTGCTGTCCCCTGGACCTGGCAGAGCTCTGCCCTCTAACACAGAGGTCAAAGCCACTGTCCTCAGGGAGCAAAGAGGAGGGAGCAGGTCTTAGAAGTGGGTCATCTCCAAGGACTTGATTGGGAGTTGTATTCAGACCTGGACAAAGGCATCTGCAACTTGGACTCTTACTGGGCAGAGCTTTTCCTCTTCTGCAAAAATTTTCAGTATTTAAAAAACTATAAAAATATTATTATATTAATGTAGGTGAGGAGAAGAGACTTCTCTGTCTTATAAACCAATTTATCCTCCTTTTAAACAACTTCCAGCCCATGCTGGAGCTCATGCCAGGGGCAGATGCCTCCTGCCCAGCCCGGATCAGTGTCCCTGTATCCCCAGCTCTCATGCTGGCTGCATCTCGTGGGGAGAAATGGGCAGAATATCCATCTTCTGAACCATGAACCTCCAAACAGCCATTTCCCAGGAGCATGTTCTAATGGAAATTAGTCCAGCTGAGAAGTGAAGGACACACCGTACCTGTGATGGCGTGGTGGGAGAAAGCCTCGACGTAGATGAGATAGTTGTGTGGGCAGTGTTTCTTCAGCCATTTGCACACATCCTGCTGGGTCCAGAGCACCACCGGCTTGACCAGGCTACCCAGCGTGGGGCTGGTGTGGTAGATGCCATAGTGGTCACAGCCACGGCCCTGAGGGGAGTGTGAGGGAAGGGGGTTAGTGGGATTCAACACTGCGAGGAGGAAAATGGCTGTCAGTCCATGGGGATGGGGGAGAGGCTGGTTGGCTGTGTAGGATTGTGGTGATGCTGGCAGACTTAAGTTCTGCACCCTCTGGAGTCTCTGGGATCACCCTGACATTGCAGTGTCAGAGGAACCAGTGAGGGAGGTGATGGGAGGGAGGATGGGAGGTTGAGTTGGGGGTCCTACCCTATATAGACCCCACATCTGAAATTCCCCAGCCCTCCTGCTGCAGACAAGAGACTCAGTCCAGCTCTCCTACACATCTCCCAGCCCAAGAGAGAATTGTACAGGTCAGGAGATGTCCTGGGGGGTCCCCAGGGTCCCCTCCTCACCAGGCAGAGAAAAGCACTTGCTGGCAGCTCTCAGTGGGGATGGAGCCAGTGAGGTTCTGGGGGACAGCAGGAACTGGTGTAAAGCCATCCCCAGCAGATGTTGGTACTGGTGCAAATTCATGCCCACCAGAAATCCCCGGGAAAGCAGCCAGCAGCCAGCTGGTACCCTGGAACAGGAGGGACTCTCCCTTTCTCTCCATCTCAACCCCCTCCAGTCCTGAACTGATCAGCCACAATGAGGTCCTGCCGCCTCTCAGGTGTCTAAAGCCGCTTCTGAACCCCACAGACCATTCTTGAGGTGCCGCCCTGCCCGGAGACACCCGGGATAAAGCAGGGTCACAGTCCTCAGCACACCAGCATGGCCATGCTCCACCTCCCACAGAGCTCTGCCACACACAGTAATGAGTGATACCCACAGGGAGACAAGGCTTGTCTGACAGCATCCCTAAATCCCACCTTCCCTGCCTGCCTCCAGCTGCCTGCTGCAGTGGCCAGTCTCATTGTGAGCCACTCAGTCTCACCCTGAGCCACAAAGTAGCTCCGTTTCCTCTCCCACATCACAGCTACTCTGGCCTCGTGATTTGTCTTGTACAGAGAAACCCAATCGTCTTGAGCTGTAACTGCACAGGGAAACAAGCCTGCTCCTCCCAGGGAATCCTCAAGGTTGTTTGGAAAATCGGTCTGGAGGATGCAGGAATCTCCTCTTCCCTGGTTTTAGCACCCAGGAAAGATTGGTGAGCTCTCTGCTGCTGGTGATGCTGGGACTTCATCCTGGAGCAGCACCAGCAAACATCGCTGCTCCAAAGCATCTCCTTGTGCCCAACTGCAGGGACTGTCCTGGGCTGGATCATGGGCAAGTGGGTGTAGAAAAGGGATCCCTGCTGCCCACATCGCAAAGGGACTGGATTAGGAGGGCTCACTCATGCCCAGGACACGGCAGGGGCAGGGCAGGAGCAGCAGTTGATGCAGGGACACACCGGCACGGGAAAGGTTGTCAGTGCATATGCCAACATCGACCTCTGTGTGAGAACACTGGCTAATTAAGCATGTCTAATAGAAGAGCAGGGATAATTAGTGCAACAGGGACTCCAGACATCCCGCAGTTACTGAAACTAATGACACGTTCCTGAGAGATGCCGGAGAGGAGGCAGTGGAGGGCAGTGGAGGGCAGTGGAGGGGCTGGGATGTGTTCCCTGCCCCGTGCCAGGCATTGCTCCCACTGAGGAGCCCGGCCAGCCTGGTCCAGCTGCTCCTTGTGCCCAGGGATGCGTTTGGGCTTGGAAAGGCGCTTTTCCTCAAGCAGAGCTCGCTGGGAACATTCAAGCAAGAGGGAAGAAGGCAAAGTTGGGAGGCTGTACATTAATAACCAAGGTGTCCATCTCCAAAGCAGATGGAAAAATGCGATAGACAGTGCACACAATTCGGTTTCCTAACCAAACCCTCACCTTTGAGGGAGACCCCGGCAGCTGCCCGGCTCTCCCAGACGCATCCCGGGAGTCGCCTGCCTGCGGGAGCAGCCCCAGCCCGCGCCGGCTGCGCGGCTCCTTCACACTCGGCTGAGCGCGCCGGAGAGCGTGCCGTGGGGAGGAGGAGGAGGCGGCGATTCGCTCTGGATTCACTAACGAGTAATGATGAGAAGCGGAGGGGCTGGGGGGAATAACAACCAGCTTCCCGGGAGCTTACTGCGAGCTTCCCACAGCTATTATCCAACTAACCCTCTGAGGCATGGGGGAAGAGGTGACAAACAACTGGCAATTTCCCTGGGCACGCACACGGCCGCACGCGCTTCGCTCATCAGACACAGCCCTGTGCCGGGGACCATCCCGGCATCCCTAAATCCTGCGCTGCCTGCTTGGGGCTCATCCTTCCCTCCCATGGAGGGTCCCCAAGGGAGTCCTGCACTCCCCAGAGGGGCAGGGAAGGTGTAAAGGATCATGGGTTCGTTTTCCAGCCGGCTGAGCTGTGCTGTCTCTCTGATAAACTCTCAGCCATGAATATCGAGCACCGGTGTGGAGGAGAGCAGCCAGGAGGGCTGGGAGGCTGCTCTGGCGGGGAGGCAGAAGGTGGCTGAGGAATCCGGGGGGGTTGGAAGCCATTCCTGGGATCTGCAAGGAACAATTTGCATCACCTCCTTTTGCTCGGGCATGTTTCCTTGCTTACAGCAAATTAAAAACCTTTCTCTCCCTAAATCTGTCTGGTCGGCACACAGAAGTGGAGGAGGGAGAGCCATGATGAGCACAGCTGGCAGCTGGAGGGCAGCTGGAGAGCAGCTGGAGTGTCCCCCTGCAGGAGCCACCTGGGCATCTGGAGGTGATGGGGACAGTGCCACCAGCACATGGGACATTGTATCCATTGCAGGGTCCCTGCTCCCCTCTGATCCCAAACCAGCTGGGCCCATGCAATGAAAAAGCATTTTCATGTTGGGGGCTGGAAGCCTGGCAGTTGGATTTTCCCCATTTTCTTTTTAGCAGTCATTGGCTGGAATTGCTGCCTCTAAACACCACTCCAGGGTGTTATGGGGGGGCTGGAAAGCACCAGGAGCCACATGCAGGGAAGATGCTCCTTCCTGTGGCTGTACAGCAGTGAATGGAGCCTTTGGCTCACAGCCTCCTTAATACAATAAAGTTCCAAAGTTTAGGAGGACAATGGCCCAAACATGGCTAGGAGACATACACAAACTCAGGCATTTTAAGGCATTATAAAGAATTTGGTTCTGGCACATTTACTGCAAAATTAAGTCCCAGCTACAGCTGTGGGGGGGAGGTGATGCACAGAGGGGAGGTGACACACAGAGGGGAGGTGACACACAGAGGGGACCTCACCCCAGCACAGCCCTCAGCCTGATGACCATACTTAAATTATTATATTTATGTATATTACTATAATCAAATGCCCGATAATCACAAGGGCTTTCAGCAAAGTGGGATCTGAAGGCCTGATCCTGCAGGGAAAGAGGAGATGCTCCTGCGGGCAGTCTCTGGGCCGGTGGACGTGAGGAGCTGAGTTCCCCTTGGCACGCCCGGGGTGGGATCCCGGCGGTACCTGCGAGCCCTCGGTGCCTGGCTGGCGCAGGAGTTTGACGGTGCGGCCGCCGTCGGGGCGCTGGCTCCGGCCGTCGTGCCAGGTGAGGCTGCTGCCTGGGTTCCGCTGCAGGCGGTAGCTGAGGTTTTCGGCCGACACCGTGTGCTCCAGGAGGCTGCGGCAGAAGCTGAAGTGGGCGGTGGCGGCGGCAGCGGCTGCGGAGGGAAGGGGGATGAGAGATGGCCACGGTGACCGTCCACCCCGCGCTTGGGCACCCAAAAATGCCTCTTCTGCCCCACAGGACCTGCTAAACTCAGGCTGTGGCCTCCTCCTCCAAATTCCCCCCATTCCTGCCTTCCTTTCCCATTGCCAGGGAGAAAACCCACCAGCCTAGGAACCCGCCAGCTGGCACCAGGATCCAGCAGGCACCCGACAAGATGTTTGCCCACACAAACCCCTCACAAGCGACGCTTGTTTTGACACCCGCCAGCCGAGCAGACATGGGGCCTGCAGCTGATCCCAACACGTGGTTAGAATCTCCTGCTCGTCACTGCCACCCTGCCGGGACAGGAACTGGGAGGGGGCCACTTTCCATGGACCAGGCTGAGAGCAAACTGCCACCACTGAGGGAAGGGGAGCAGTGAAACCCACCCTGGGCAGCCCGATGGGAAAGGGGATGGAGGCTGGTCCCCCCAGCACAGAGCATGGGTGCTTGGGGATGGCTACTGCGCGCTCCAGGGATGGTCAAACGTGTCAGCCCATCAGTGATGACCACAAAGAGCCATTTACACACAAGTACTTATTGTCCCTTATTCATAGAATATCCTGATTTGGATCCACAAGAATCCTCGAAGTCCAATTCCTTCTGTTATAACAAGCTGGAGGTATTGGTGTTCCAATGAGGATGCAAACCTTTCCTTTGGAGGGGGGTGAAGGGATCTGGCTGCTGTGGGAGGAGGGGTAAGTGGGTATTAGGGGCTCATGCTCTGTCTGCTCCAGATAAAAGCCAGACGGCTTGACATAAGCAGCTCTGATCCGCAGAAGCAAAGACCAGAGCATCCCCCAGCTCACCTGCTCCCACCACGGGGAGCTGGGCAAGTCACAAACCACCTCCAAGAGCAGAGCAGCATCTGAAGGAGATCCACCTTTGGGATAACCCATCCTGGGAGAGCAAAAATGCTGGAGAAACGCTGATGCAGCTCATTTTACTAATTAGTGGGTTTTAAGAGGAAAGAGGTTTCAAAAGGGACAGCTCGAGCACACCTTCATGTAAGAGAACAGCCGGCAAAAAAAAGTCAAAATAGAAAAAAAAGAGTTGTCCATGTGTCCCAGGATACCCAGATCATATCACACAATGTTGCTTCTCAAACACACCGAGTGACAAGTGTTGCCATGGGGAAACTGAGGCAGGGAACCTGTCCGATGGCTGGGGAAGCAATTGCATGGAAACCATGCCGAAGCAAGATCCACGGAGAGGCTCGGTGGGGAGCAGAGGCACAACTGGCAGGGGTGGTCTCTGTGTCTGTCTCAAAGCATGGGGATGTCTCTGATGGCTTCCGAAAGCCCCAGACACCCTGAACCTGGTGGGCAAAGTCTACACCAGGTTGTGCTCCCTCCAGCCAAGGGTGCCCGATGCTCTCTCCATGCCACTGGCTGTCCTGTCCCCAGCATCCCGAGCACCCAGACCTGACACAGCCACTCTGGGATACCCCCAAGCTGGAAACCGTCCATCCCACCGGCTGTTGCGGCAGATATGGACACAGCCAGTCTGGAGGGGCTGGTGCCAGAGCTTCTTTTGGCTGTGCCGGGGCTTCCCCAGGACTCGCTGTAGGGAGCAGAGGAAAGGGGGCTCTGGCCATCAGCAGGACCCATATCCATAGGGATCTGTGGAGCATCTGCCTCTAGCAGCAGGACATGGGCATCTCCGCTCCTCCAGCAAACACAGCTAGAGGTGAGAGAGGAGGAGTGAGGAGGTGAGGGAGCAGATGAGAAAGAGGGGTGAAAGACAAAGGGAACAAGAAGCCAAGAAGAAAGGCAGGGCAGGGAGCATCGTCGGCAGAGCTCCCCATTGGGGCGGGCAGTGACTGCCCTGGAGCCAGAGGCTCTGGCAGCTTCTCTGGCAGCTCCTCCACAGCCTCGTCTCCCCCAGTTCAGCCCTCGGGTCCCAACTTTTCCATCACCTGGCAGCATTTGACATGGGTGAGGGTAAGGTGGTGCTGAGCAGGGAGTGTTTTGGAGCAAGGGAAGGATGGGGACAGAGGAGCCCCGTGGCAGGGCAGCCCTGGGCTGGGGACATGCGGGGTGACATCCAACACAGGCTTTCCTCTTCTTCCCATGCCCTGCACAGAGAGTAACCACAGCATTCCCAAGAGCACTCAGCCACCCGCCATCCCCTCTGCTCCTCTGCCAAGCCGGAGGCTGTGCCCGCCTGCCAGGGATGTACATGCAGCATCTCCCACCAGACTCGCTGACCCTGCCGCTCTCCAGCCATGCTCTGCACCCCCCAGCCGCTCCCTGGAGACCCCTCACCTGGCTCGGGTGGTCCCTGCGAGCTGCGGATGGTGGAGACGCAGCAGAGGGATGGCCGGCCCTGCTGCATCTCGGCGGGAGGAGGGATGCGCGTGAGCGCTCGGCACCGCTGTCACGAGTGCGGCTCCATCCCTGCCTCCCCTCATACCTCGTCCACACCTGACTGACTTCCCCGATCGCCTCCCTCCCACTGCCACTGAGCGCTGGCTGCAGGCTCATCCCAGCTCCGGGCAGCCCCGAGCTGGTTTTGAATGGAGGGGGGGTGAATTATGCCCCCTCCCCACTGCCCCGTGGGCGTTTGATCCGGAGAGATGTTCGGTGCTTTCCTCGCATGCTCCCGCCTAATCCCGCGGCAGGGCCAGCTGGCACTGGGATGGACAGGAAGCCTGAGGGGCTGCTGCAAGAGACACTTGACCCACCGGGCATCAAAGTGCCCTGGGGCTGAGCGGAGCCGTAGCATGAGTATGGCAGCACTGGGGTCACCGGTGGCTTGAGGCATTTGGGATGCAGGAGGAAAAGAAAAGAGGCACTAAGATGAAAAGCAGCCTTCCTGAGAAGGGGCTACAGGGCTCAGTGTGGGCTGCACCTGCTCCCAGCCAAAGCCATCGTGGTTATGGCCATGTTGGGGTCCGGGTAGAAGGGGAGTGCCGCAGAGGCAGTGTAGGTCAGAGAGCAAAGGCTGTGCTGAACCCTGAAATGGAGCTGCAGGAGTCTCCAGGCTGGATGGGTCCAAGCCAGGGTGGGGAAGGGAGTGCTCAGCTTTGGTTCCCAAACAGTCACTGTGACTCCACTGTTCCAAGTCCCCACGAGCTGGTCCATGGTCCCTGCACCACGTTTGCCAGTCCCCTGTGATGGACACCCCACTGCCTGTTTGCCGCCAGGGAATCACTGCTGGCTCGTTTCCATGGCTCTTTGATCCATTTCGGGCATCTCTCCAGCCTCTCAGGGCAGGATGGGGGGAGGCCAGGTCCGGGTCACCACAAGGGGACCAGCAGCGGTGGGACAGGGTCAGCAGCAGTGGCAGGGACAGACGCCGCTCCCTCCCCTCGCCAGGCTGCTCCCGCTCCCGTTCCCTCTCCAGACACTTTTATGGCTAGTGAAACGTGAGCGCTGGAGAGGCTCAGAGCAGCAGCAGCCGCTGCTGGAGAGAGGGAAGGGAAACCTCCTGGGGATGGAGACACCTCGGGGCGGGATGTGGCAACATGCACCAACAAAAGCATCTCCTGGTGACTTTTACGGATGCTTCCTGCTCGCAGGTGACCAGGACTTGCCCGGGGAACACGGCAGCAGGCAGCCAGGCTGCAGGAGGAGCAGGCAGGGGCACAGTGAGGGGAGTACAGTGCCTGGACAGGCAAAGACTGCCTGAAGCCTGCTCCCAGTGTCTTTGATACCATCACACGCGTGGGTGTCCCAGAGACCTGCCCTCCAGCTGGGGACATGTATGCAGGCAGCTGTGGCGGGGGCAGCCGGGCTTCCTGGGGTCAGACAGGCTTCCCTGGATTAATGGGAGAAGCTTGAAACAAGCTTCATAAGGAATGAAATCCCTTCGCTGGTTTTCCTGGTTCCCCGTGTGTGTCGAACCTTAAGGGCGGGTCATCACACTGTGTTTGCCAGGAGGAGGATTCAGGGAGCTGGTCATTCACTCTTGTGTTCCTCCAGGCAGGTGAGGGGTGAATGGGACGAGAAATCCCTGAAAACTCCTAGGAAGGGGAATCCACTCTGCTCCCGGGGCAGCTTTGTGAAGGACTCATCTCGCTTTTAGAGGCATCTGCCTGAGCCATGAACCCATCTGGCATTGCCATTGCCATTGTCCTTGTCCTCTCCATGCCTTCCATGTGGCTTCACCCTGGTGCAGGGCAGAGGTGCTGCTTGCACTGGCAGAGTCCCTAGGGATGATCATCCCAGTGACACTCTCTGGAACCCCCAAACACATCCCATCTTTGAAGCTGTGCCTACAGGATGTCCTTATGGACCAGATCCTGCCCTGAGCCATTCCCTAAGACCTGCTGACCTCAAAGACTACGAAACTAGATTCAGAGAGGACTGAGACTCCCTCCTGCCTCAGGTTCCCCTGAGGTGTATTCGGCTCGGGCCCTGGCTGTGAAGAGCATCAACCCAGTGCTTCCCTCTGAAGGTGAGAGGTGGTGAGATGGGAGACTGGTGCAGGAACAGAGCTCATGCTGGTGGCTGCTCAATGCTGGAGCCTCCTGAGGATGGAGGAGGAAGGGAACAAAAGGCAGATGTCCTTTCCATCCTCCCAGTGCAGCACAATGGGTGCCCTGGGCAGACAAAATTGGGGAGTGGGCAGGGTTTCTGGGGTGACTGTGCATGTCTTTGGGGGTGTCTGTGCTCCTGAGCCCTGAATGGGTATTGCCAGGAGGTCCCTGAGCACCCCAGGACAGTGGATCTCTGTAGGGTTGGGCACCCAGGAGAGTGTGGGCAGTAGGCAGGACCTCGGGTCGGCTCTGGGCAGGTTCTCCTGGCAGGAGGCAGGTGTGGGAGCCCACAGGCACGGCCACCCCTGCCTGCAGTGAGCTCCCTTCCACCATGACACACTCTTCCCAGGGGTTCTACCCAGCTCCAGCTACCCCGGGCCCACCTGCCCTGCCCTCACACCTGCATCCCTTCTCTCTAGCCAAATTTCCCAGCCCATTTTGCTGTTACCCCACAATACGGGGGGTAGGGCATTGGTCCAGACCCCCCCCGGAATGTTGAGGGCAGCAAAGGGGGATGTGGAGGCACTGACTGAGCCCCAGGATGGAGAGGGCAGCACTGGGGGGGTTGAGAGTGGGCAGACCCGCGGCATGGAGGGGGCAGCGCCGGGGCAGGGATGAAGAGCAGACCCCCCGGGATGGAGAGGGAAGCATCAGGGGATGGAGGGCGGGCAGCCCCCCGGATGGAGCGGGCAGCCCTCCAGCTCCGTGCCCGCCGCGTTCGGGGCTGGGGGAAGCTCGTCCCGCCGCGCACCTGAGCCCACCCCCACCTTCCCGCGCCCGGTACCTTCCATGTCCTTGGGCCGGCCGCAGCTCATCCTCCGGCAGCGGGGCCGCGCTCGGGCGGGGACGGAGCCCCGCGCCCCCCGCGCCGCCGCCGGCACCGGGCGCTCCCGCCCGCCCCGCCCCGGTGTCCGCGCCGGGGGCGGTGCCGCGATCCGCCACCCCCGGGGGCTCCGCCTGCCGCCGGCCCCGCGCTGCCGCCCTCCCCGAGCACCCCCGAGCATCCCCCGACCCCTGCCCGGGGCTGCGCGCATCACCCCCCGCCTCCCTCTCTCCAGCTGGGGAACAGGTCCTTGGGAACACCAGGGTGCAGCGGGCACCACGCACAGGTTTTTGGTCATGTTAGCGGTGGGCACAAAGCGGAAACCACCTGGTTGTTCGCTCTCTCCCGAATTTCTCTTCTCCCCGCGACCCTCAGCTCCTCGGATGGGTGCCAGCGGGGCAGGTAGGGGAGGGTGCTCATTCCCGTGTACACAGCGTGGGCTCTGGTGGGTGGCCTCAGCATGAGTGGGCACCCACCGAGCCTCCCTGGTGCTCGGTATTCCAGCAAGGAGCAGAACAGCATTGCCAGAACCCGTCACTCCCCCAGGGTGACAACCCCACAGGTATTTTTGGAGGCGCCTGCCTTTAGCTGCCACACACGACTCCCAGCCAGGGACCATCACTGCCAGCACTCGCAGCCACCAAGGGGCCGGGGTCTGGCTGTGCACCCTGCGGTTATCCTGTGCTGGGTGGGACACAGACACTGCTGGGTGCCCAGGACAAGGACAAGAAGATGCCTGTGCTGTGATACTCCACTTTGCAAGGGGTTCCCTGTCACAGACCCATTGCAGCATAGGGCAGCAGCCTCACCCTTGTTTTAAGATGAGGGTTAAGCACGTTGTGTGCTGATGAGCTGCCATGGGCTGGGGCTGTGAGGGTACAGGGGGTGGCAGTGACCTTGCTCTTAGCCTTGCGTGGCTGTTCATCGCCCTTCTTGGATCTGGGCTGTGCAGCTGTGTGTGCGTGTGAAGCGCTTGCCAGAATTAAATTCAGCTCCCTGAATCAATAGGAGCTTTCCAAAATTTTGGATGCTCAATCAGGAGCTGCTCTGGACCAGGCTCGATGCTGGCTCAGCTCCACACCGGGAGCCAGCCAGGGCTGCCACGTTCAGCGAGCCAACTGTGCTGCCACTCACGGAGCAGGGACATCGAGTCACAAACCATTTGTGTAGTGGGGACACCAGGCCACAAACCCTCTGTGTAGCCTGCGAAGAGTCTACTACTAAAATACCCCCTCAAGAATCCCTAGGGGGAATTGGCATTCCTCCTCCTCCTGCTGCAAGAGAGCAGGCAGGGCAGTACCGCTTGTTGCAGGCAGATAAGGAAAGAATGTATTCTCTATCCCTCTGAAATTCCCATTTCTCCCTCAGTCTCTGTCTACACATGGAGCTTTTGAGCCATGGCAGAAATTTTCCAAGAGAAATATGGTTAAAGAGGGGCCTTGGCAGGAAAAGGCTGGTGTCGCTTGAAAAATGTGTGCAGATTACACCAAGCTGTTATTAAAAATAAGTGCTGTGCTGTTCCCAGCCTTTGCTTTCACTGATTTTTCTGGTAGTAATTGCACTTCTCCAGGAAAGGTTTCATGTATCCAGGGGAAAGAATTTACTTCCTCTTCATCTGCAAATGGGTCCAGTGCCAGCCCAGCATCCCAAAAGTGCCTGGGGAAGCTCAGGCTGCTCATCCCTCTGAAATTCCAAAGGGTTTCGAGAAAAACCTTGAGCCTCGGGATGCATGAGGAGGGTTGGGGAGGTGGTGTGGTCCCACACATCCCCATGCCTGCTCCGTGCTCCAGCTCTCCTCAGCTTTACAGCTTCCAGCATCACTCCTGGGTTATCACTCAACCTCTCCCATGGTGGAACATCTCTTAACCAGCCCCAGCAACTCTGTCTTGGGATTTGGTCTGACTTTGGGTCTTTTAAAGTCTGATTGAGGAGTTTCCACAGTTAAACAGGAGTTAGTTAGCAGGGAGGCAAAGCCCTAAACCCAGACCATAGCTTGGGAAGTTGAAAGCACGGGCCAGGGGTTCGTTTTCTCAACGCATTGGTGGGTTCAAAGGAGACAAGGTGGGGACAGCAGCACCAGCGAGCCCTGGACCAACAGGCTGCCCCTCTAAATGTGTATGGATTTGGGAGAGCACCAGTGTCCCCGTGGGTCCCGTCCCTCCCCACCGCCAGCCTCCGGAGAGGGTGCGAGGCTGGGATGATTCAGCACGTTCGTTTTTCAGAGAATAAAGGAAGTAATTAAACATCAGCTTTCCTCCCGCCGCGCCCCGCGAGG